GGAACTTCCCACTGTAAATCTTGTGTAAATCAGTCTAAATCATCTGACGGCCGTGTGTCGACATCCCATATCGTTTCGAACGAGTGCTTTTCAGATGTTCTTAGGTATACCGTCCAGTGCCCGGGTTCAGATCTCGAGTCCAATTATTTACAAAAAATAAACCGACCACCCTCAAAATATCAGACGGTCCGGCCGCCGCTTGTTCCGACTAAGAATACGCTGATCAGATGAACATCAGTGAGATGATGGGAAATCGCGGGAGCGGGAACAAACTCGTCAATCACCCCCAAAAAATACCTACTCACGGCTCCCGAGAAGCAGGGTGAAATGGAGATGGACTCGCTGCTGCACCAATTATACTCGCGAGTTTGCGATGTTATTCAATACATCTGTCCTGGATTTGGGGTTGGGGGACTTCACACTGTATAATCTGCAGGCGCGAATCGAGAAGAGAATATCAATATATAAATGAAGCGGGAAATGGACCCTCAATCGAAACAGAGCGCTTGAGCAGGGCGGGGACGTTACGCTAGATCCCTCGACTCCAGCGATCATTTGCATCGCGCATGGTGTTGATGCAGGAAGAGGACTCGGTAATACCGAACTCTGCCCGAGTCGTTGGGACGAGCGAAGAAGATTGGCCGTCGAGCCACTTATCCTTGCACGCAGCTGAATGTTGGTGCGCCGTGGGTCAGTCCGTCGCCTCAGAGCCAAAGATGTTCAATACGCTGAAGGGACGTACGCTAAAAAGCAACACGACGCGTAAGACATAAAATAGACGTACGCGAGAATAATTGGGGGATGACTGACGAGAACCTGGGAGGAAAACATGCAATGCAGGGAGGAGGGACGGTGTACATTCGCGATGGCACGCCGTTGGTCGCAGGGGCGGTAATAAGCACGGAAATGGCGCCGGAGAGCTAGAGAAGCAGAGGCGGCTGGGCGCGGGGAAGCAATGCGATGTGGCTGTATCCGGCGAAGATGCTAGAGTTGACGCCGAGCAGCGAGGGATGAGAGGCGGTGCTGGTCTGCAGATGCTACACGTATGCACCTGTGCCCGCAGAGTGGATAATTAGGACACGCCCAGAACTGTGTTGTCTGCGCCAGCATCCGGTTTCCAGCGGAGAAAGAATCACGGAGCCATTGAAACCGGGGAGTGGGCTGGTAAGGTGAAGCCCTAGGTCACCGGGGAAGAAAGAGGATGCGTGCCCGGAGTGCCACAGATTCACAGACAAAGCTAGCGAATGAATAGGAAACAAGGAGATGACGAGGAGCGGACGATGGAGTTGTTACATAGACAGTTCTCGAAACATAGGCACACGCGAGATCCTTGCCAGCCTGGCGTATATGGGATAAGGTTAACAAGCGTGTAGAATTATGAATATCTAGAAGAGAATCCGCTGTCTTGGAAGGGATTGGGTGCAGGATTGAGTTCCAGGCGACATGGTGGCGAAGAGAAGAGTGGTAGGGTGGCTATGTCGAATCCGGATCAACTGAACACCCGGCCACACCCGGAATTCTTCTTCTGCTTCTCCCATCTCTTTTCAACCCTTTGCTTTACACCATGCGTCGGCGATGGGATCACTCTAGGATACCGCCGGATTGCTGTTCGGTCCTATTGGCGTGCCGAGCGACGCCCGAAACCGCCTTAATCGCCTGCCACTCAAGAGTCAAAAAAGGAGCTGAAGAAATCGCTCGAACACTGTAGATTCAATCCAGTCCGAGTCTCTAGGCACAATCTCGCTATCAGCGCTGAGTCGGTACTCCTCCCGGAAATGTTACTCTTCCGGTCCAGTCCACCAAGGTCCAGCAAAGTATCTTTCCTTTGCGTCCAGAGGTATCGTGTTTGAAGACAAATTATGCGCGCTGGAGAGAACAGGGACATAGAGAGGAAGGCGAATGTGTAGTTGGTGTGTCTTGCACCCCTCTTCTGGCCGAATTTAAATTGACGTTCTATTTCGCTTCAACCTGGAACTGGACCTTTGTTGTGCCGGTAAGAGTTCAGAAATTACACACCTGGTTTTTTTATTGCATCTATTCTCAGCGGGGCTTGTTAGGCAGCGAATTCAAGGCTACCCGTAGCCAGGGGTTTGACTCCCGCCTCCAAATGGAGTTCTTTTTGTTCCACTCATCGGCTCGCTCTCTAATTTGAATTAGAAATTGACAGCCATGGCGCATGGGGCACGGCGGTGATTCAATTCAGATGCTGGCTTATCCTAGAACTCACCAGGTCAATGGATCAGGCGTGGTGTACGGAAATCCGCCAGCATTCTTACGGAGTGATTTTCAGCCACAAGATGCTGGCCGTCCGGGGTTCGACTCCCCGCGTCTGAATGGCTAGGGATGATGAAATTTTTAGTCTGATTTAGAATCTCTACTTCGTATCCTAATCTAGCCAGGAGCTAGCCAGAATCTTCCATGCCACGCTCACCCTTAGGGAGTGTAAAATAACGGACGCACTGACAGTTAGTATTTGATAAATTCTGGTCCTCGTCTAATCCGTGACTCGGGCTCGACGCATTCGGCACAATCATTCCCCGCCTATAGTTTTTTTTTCCCCTTACGGCGTGCTGCACTGCGTACACTCCACTCCTTTCCCCCTCGGCTCCAGTAGTCAACTCAGCAACGTCCGAGCTCCAGCTCGTCATTGATTTGACACTTGAATAGGGAACAATTTGTGCAAGCAGTGGGTCCGTGTGGATTCAGTCTGCATTCGCAGCAAAGTGACAGGTTTAAATTAATCAGTCGCCGAATGGCAGTTGACTTGCTCGCAAACCGCCAAACGATCTCCGGCACCCCGGTGGAGGACTTCTTTGCATATGGTCCACACCCTTCTCAGGATGGCGTAACGGCCGACGTCTTCGAGCACACGAAGAACAGATTAGCTCCACAACGGGGCACGGGGATCAGAAGAGATCCCTCGCTTGGACCGTGACGTGACCAATACCGTAACGTGCTCCCTGAATTTCACATGCCACGTCGCTGACATCCTTCTCTCTTGTACTACGACCACCTCCTTCCTCCCCAGTTTCCTCGCAAAACGCAAAACTTGAAGGTGGGGCCCCGCCGCCTCGCTGGCACTTTGCACGCCGCGTTAACCCTCCTAGGCCTCCACGTGACAATGGACTCTTCGCAATATTTCGCAGACGAGGACAGGCGCTTCCCCGACGAAAGCGCGTACATCGACGATGAGAGCGAGTATATGGCTTATTCGTTCAACTTTGGCGCGGAAACGGGCTCGGTTTGTCCTACACCCACACTATCGCGAAGATCATCCAAGCTCCGACTGCGCATCGACCCTGTGAGACGCGCGGGTGTACAGGGACGTGGAGAGGATCGCGATTGTGGAATCTGGTGCGTTGCTTCTCTACTCATTAGTGTGAACTTGAAATGATCGAAATAATTCATTGGTGCAGCTTCGAGCACGCCGTAACTCCTATCCGCACGCGCTGCTGCGCGGGCCGTTTTCTGCGCTGAGCACATTAACGCCTGGCTCCAAGGCCCCGCTGCTGACGGTTTCTGCCCCACGTGTCGCTCCGACTCACCTGCATCCACGTCCACGTCCGTGTCCACCCCTGCGCTCTCCCCTTCCTCATCCACATCCACGTCCTCGTATACATCCTCTGCATCCTCCTCAAGTTCTCCCTCCGATGATGATCATACCTTCTCCGCGACTGCTCTACACAGTGTCCTCGACCTCAAATCCCTCCAATCTGTCAAAGCCGATACATCTAATGAGGAACCGCGGTGGCGTAATCGAGATCTCGATCCGGATACAGACACGAAAGAAACGCTACGCAGCTTCCTCGGAACGCGTAATGTCCTGCTCGCTCTCGCACGCGCAGCCGGGTGTGTGCTCGTAGTCGGCGTCCTCGCGGGACGCGGACGCTGGGTGTAGATCTCGATGGCCCTCGCGGTTTTAATTTCGCTCCCCATAGCTGGACGGCCTCTCTGTGTATCGTCGCGCGCCTTCGTGGACCTTATTTGGCGGTCCAGATGTATCACTTCGAATTCACCTGCTCGGCTCCCACAGCTTGGTCCCACCGACCCATCCGCTCCCAACTCGACGCCATCGCATCATCTGTACTTGAACCACTGTAATAACCAATCGCAAGTGAACTTGTTCCTATCACCGTGACCCCTGTCCGTTGAGCTTCACGACTTGATCCCGGAATTCTTGCGAGGATGTGTTCACTTCCAATTCAGGATCATGTACTCGCTGCCTCTCCAAGCTGCCGCTACGACCGATGTTCAACATGCTGTTAGTATTCTGCCAACCGAGCGAAAACCTCCTTCATTTTTTTCTCATTCATCACCCAGGAACTAACGCACAGAATAATCGGACGTGGTGTATGGAACACCGCCACCCTGTTTGCATCGAACATGTCTTCGTTACCTGGCAGTTCGGGGTTCGACTCTCCGCGTCCGAATGTTGCAGAAGGTTTTTTTCTCCCTAAGGAATAATGCATGGGCGTTATGTCCGCAACGCAGCACGCCTTTTTGACGAAGAGCTGACGAAAGGGTATTCCCAGGACGGTTTGAATTCCCGCGTCTGAATGAGGGTCGTAGTGGAATTCTTTTTCTACTCTGCCACAGCTTGCATTCTAATTCGTATTAGGTATTGACAGGCACGGCGGCGATGCTGGTTTATTCCAAGACTCACCCAGTCAATACATCAGGCGTGGTGTACGGAACACAGCAGGCTCTTTTGAACAAGAAAGAGAACGCCACCAGCAGGTCGGGGTTCGACTCCCCGCGTCCGAATTCGCTTCCATCGATCTATTTTTCACTCCGCTTTCCGCGTCTTTCTCTCTTTCTTTTTGCGTTGGCGCGAATCTCACCTTCCATTATCATTCGCTTTCTCCGACTTACAAAATTCCGAATGCGTTGGAGCTGCAGCTCGCATCCAGCCGATCAAGCTTCAAGTTGGATACACTCTAATTTTCCCACGAGATTTCTCGTGGATTCTCGATTAGTATGGGAATTTACAAGCATGGTAATCAGGCGTGGTGTATGGAACACCGCGGGGCCCTTTTGCAAGATCGATTGGTACTATGCTACCCGCAGTCTGGGGTTCGACTCCCCGCGTCTGAATCCTTGAGAGCCGATAACTTTTTCGCCCTCCCGTCTCATTTGCATTTAGGAACTTGCACAGGCATTTTTTTAGATGCTGTTGGTGTCCCGAATGCCGCGCTTCGAGTGCGTATTGTCGCACATTGCCAGCACATCGATCCTGATAATTTCTTTTGTATTCTAGTTGAATTCGCGAAAGCTCAACTAACTAGTACCCGTACGGAACACGGCTTCCCAAGCTCAACTACGAGCAAACTAAAACATTATTACATCTTGCTGAGGACTAACGGTACAACCGATGCGGCAGAGTTTTGGCTGCGCCGCTCTGCTGAGTGGCAACGCGGGTGGAACTACCACAACTATCTTCTGTTCTGCAAATCAGGGTGCTGCACTGGCCTGTGCGGGCGCTGAAGGGTCTTACGATTCAAATGCGCTGGTTCATCTCATAATCTAGACTTATATAATTAAAATGCATCAGATAGTCTTCGTTTTATTGGGGTACAAGTAACCAGTATATTAATATTCATTGTCCAGTTTCTGGCAACGACACGACACCTCAACGTTTTTGTTTCCAGCGAAGTTGAAGCACTGCCAATAGTACACAACTTAAATGCTCGACGGTCCACGTGCCAGGAAGAGATGGTTCTAGAAAGTAAGATTCCGCGAAAACAAAGTACGCAAAGGGGATCGTACCCCAAAAATTTGATAAAACATACATAAGAACTTGTACCTGAATCCCTCCGATGAGCACCGACAGCTCATGGGAGAATAATGCAACATGGAACAACCAAATCCTTCGCGTGTTTGAATTCCTACGGGATCAGTACCCATCCATCCATGTGTTCATATAATCCCCGTCGTGGACGAGATGTACATCAGTCGCGCGCATCCCTTCCTGCCGCAACCTCCCCAACCTGGCGGCTTTTTTCTTACCGATCCCCGCTCCTGAGCCAAATGTGAAGCTCTCGAGGCGTGTGCAACCCGTGGCATGATCCACACGCCACCGTGTACGCGCCATGTCCACAACGGCTTTGGTCGCGGGCACCCACGCCGCCGCGCGTTCCTCTTCCACCCAGCGGTCGATGAGCGTGAGCGCTACCAGCCGCGGGAGCAGCTGAATGTCCGCGAGAGCGGCGGCGAGCGGCGCGAGGGCTCGCACAGAAAGAACCAGTTGCAGGCGCCAAAAGAGGGGGTTACTCTGGAGGAACGGGATAAGGTTGTCGCCCGTGCGACTCGTGACGGAGAGCTGCTGGAGAGAGAACGCTGAGCGCGTCTGAAGATCGAGGAGAGTTGAGTACGGGCGGTTTTGTGAATACTCGTACTTGATCGAGAGCTTCGTCAAGGAGAGGAGGACGAGTCTGTCGAAGAGATCGACTGGGGAGCTATCCCTAGCCCATCCGCTGACGCTGATTATGAGATCCAGCTCACGCAGGGCGGACGCGCAGATGGGTGGTTGTCGACGGTGAAGCTTGGGAGATGTTGGAGGTACGATGGGGGGTCGTAAATGCAATGATAGGCATTAAAGGGTTCAGGATATACACGTCCAGTTTGACACGCACGAGGGCGTTCGCCATTCCGAGCACATGGAACGCGTCATCGCATCAGATTTCGACATCTGCGAATCACAATTCGGTGAGCCGTCCCCACGGCAAATCGGCGACATGGGGGTTGAATCTGAGTTTGCCACGGAATGTGGCCGCGGATGAATAAACAGCGCCAAATTTCACGCTGTTCGCAAGTGGCGCACCCTCGAGAGAAGACATCGAGCGGAACCACGTCCGGTGGCGATCTGACAGGACAGAAATATCGATGGATTACAAAGCCATCAACGCAGGCGTGTGCAGTGCAATTGAACGCCATAAGGCGCACACATGAGAGACCAGGAGGTGGGGACGCATTGAAGAAGAGACGTCCTGATCGTCCGCGGTAGAGTGCAAACAGATTTCTGCCAGGAGTTCGGGTGGGAGACGGAAGATTAAGCTCGGAGACTGCTGTACTGTCCGCTTTACAGCCCGAGAACGATCAGCGAGGAAATCTCGAAGAGTTAGTAGAAGCAGAGCTAAGCCAAGCTCCACTGAGCTGAGTTTAGGACAGGTCAGAATGCAGTGATGAGTTGAACCCTGTGAGCATCTCAAATCACCTCAAAAATACACCTCACAGTGAGTGTAAGGTCAGCATGCCATCAAACAAGCCTCCAAAAGGCTAATTTACAGCGGATATACCCAAGTGTAGATACAAATCACTAAAATGTCATTTTACACAAGTATATGTGAGATGCAATGAATTGGACTCTACAAATCCCTGCCTCCTCTTTTTCACTGGTTAGCATGCAGCTGCTTTTATCAATTCTTTGTAATAAATGTCTCTTTTTGTGGTTAGCAGCGTAGGTGGGAGAGACCCCGCGGAACTCCGTACACCACGTTAGATTATCTCAGGGAGTCGTTCTACGAGATTGCAGGCGACTTGCGCTGAAGAAAAAATATTAAAAAGAGACCTGCACTCAGTCGCGTCTTTTCTATCAGTCATTGTCCAGGAGCTAACCCATGATTTCATCGGACGTGTTATCAGCAAGTTGGCAAAATGGTGTGGCCAAGCTCACTGGGCGACCCGCACGGCGTCCAACGCAAATTCACCTCGAACTCGGCCATTACACTCATACTTCGCTGGAATAAATTGCACTCTTGCCATGGGCCTTTGGTCACTCATATTGCTCAAAAATCGTTTAGTTGGTGTTTAATTCGTGATCATACACCTTCTTCGCGTGTCTTCTCTGATTGATTCATGCCACTGGGACTAGCACAGTTAATAAATCAGACGTGGTGTAGGCAACCCAGTGAGGATTTTTTGGGCCGATTGTCTAGATGTTACCAGATCTTGTTTAGCCTTTTTATTATTCGGAATCATGTCCATAGGAGAATCCCATTCGCTCCTTTCAAAGTCTCTTCAATGCCCGTTGCCCGTTAGTAGCCGCTTGGTAACCGCGGTCCGCAAACACGATGGACACATGACCGCGTTGCGCCGCTGAGTCAGACACACGGAGCTTCCACGATTCACTCATTTAACTGCAGCTACCGTCTGGCTAAGTTGGGCGTCACCGTCATACGCGCTTGCCCTCCAGCAGTTTCTCAGCCTGCCCACACTCTGCCCAGTGCTGTGTGAAGATGGACCGCAACGACACGAAACTACACGAAACCATCTGAGGCATGTAAAACTTTCCTATCTTCCGCTACCAACTAAGGGGGTGCATCCCACCCAGCAGCCTTTTGACTGGAATCATTGGCGCTGCGGATGAGGGCCGCTGCGAGTGTCCGTGAATAGCTGACGCAACCCCATTGCCCCTCATGCATCACTTGCAGGTACATCGCGTTGACTACCCTCCGGGTTTGTTTAGGGTAGGTCCCCCTTTTCATTCGAGGACTGGTTGTCGGTGACTAATCATTTGTTGCAGGGTCTTACAGGCATGTGGGAGTTGTGACTTCTCTCCACTAAATTGACTGTGTGTACTGTTGTCTTCGAGTCCATTGTTCCATTTATGGTTTCCTGTTTTACATCGCCCTCGAGCCCTGCTGCTTCCCGTCCAATCTGCGCCTCGGACTCGACTCCTAGCCTCCAATTGATCGCGCTCCGCTCCTTTTTTCACTCACCGTCTTAACCCTAACTCATCCGCATTTTGCCCTACTCTGGGAGTTTACACGCATACTAATCGGGCGTGGTGCATGGAACACAGCGGGGCTCTTTGCGCCGTTTTCTTATTGATGCCACAGGCAGTCCGGCTTCGACTCCCTGCGCCTAAATACGTGTGGTTCAACTGTGCCATTTCTTTCTTTCTTTTTTCATTCCACTCCTCCAGTTGACTCTCACATTTATATCTTCCGGTCGATCTTTGGTCGTTCACACTGCGTCGCTCTTCCGGTTCAAATTTTCAATCAGTGCGAGGTAAGTCGAATTCGACTTGATCTGAAAGCCGACAGTATGTTGAAGGCGGTTCAGATGAGGGTTTATTCTAGGACTTACCAGGCTAACACATCGGATGTGGTGTACACAACACGGCGCGGTCTCTTGGCCATTGATTCATCTGACACACCCGCAGTCCGGGGTTCGATTCCCCGCGTCCGAATATCTCTGCCGCCTGAGTCTTTTTATATGTATGCGACCCGTACATGCTGAGTTGGATTCGGCTACAGTACATACTACGGAGGCTACTGTAGAATTTCAATCAATTCGATCGTGCGCGTCACGCACCCCCTGTTCGGTGTCGAACATTGGTGCCGGGTCACCGGTCACGCCCCCGCTGGTCGAACCTCATGCAGCCCTTAAAAATGCCAAATTTTTCGTTCCCATGGTTGAAATTTTTTAGGGTTGTCATGCAAAATTTTGGCTGTGGTCGAATTGGCAATTTGGGTCACGCGTCACGCACCAGGTCGATTTGATTGTAATTATACAGTAATAGAGGACCTGATTCACGGATCGTAGGCAGTCAGCCAGTCTTCTTTCCGCAACGGGTAGGTTCGGAGCTTACTGTCTATGAAGTTCAAGCCTGATGTTTCGATCACTGCGACGCATCTAATCGCAGCAGCCGTAACGTGTAACTTTATTTACGAGGCATGCTGAGATTTCGCAGTTCACATGCTGGTTTATTCTGGTACTACACAGGGACAGAAATCGGACGTGGTGTCGTCCTTGGGGAAGATTTGGTGATGGATAATACCTTACCGGTAGCCCCGGGTTCGACCCCCGCGTCCGAATTACGAAAACAGATTCGTCTTTTTTTTTTCTTTCATCCATTCCTCGTACTCCGATTCTCATCACTTCTAGCCCAGTTTAGAAATTAACAATCGGACTGGGTTGCAACTCGCTCTAGAAAAGACGCATCCATATTATGTGACTGGTTCACCACTGTCACGGCGGACATTCAGCTGTCACTTGCGCTTTGTCGCGCTACAGTCACTTGAACTGTCACTTGCCGAGCTCTTTGTTCTGAACAAAGGCACAAAGGAACTGTGCAAATGACGGTACCAATG